TGTTGCTTGAAACCTGCATGATTTCTTTCTTCTGTGGAACACAAAAGAAGATATTTAGCACAATGTTCAGACCACACTTTTTTCATATAATAACAGTGAGCAGCAGAAAAACAATTGGGCAAATGATGACAGAATTTTTGCTTTTGAGTTTTTGAAATATCAATTTTGTATTGATCTTATTCATTATGCATCATTTAGGAGGAGTGGGATTTATATATATAGCTGTAACAGTAAATACAGTAAGTGTTCTTCCTTATAACCGTTATTCTTCTATCTTTATCCTTCATTTCCTCATCAGTGGTGTTATTGTGCAATCACTGATGATGAGGTAATTTAGATTTGTCTGGAATGACAGTATGATTTAAAGCGTATCGTGTTCTGTCTCACTAGTTTTCACGTTTTCTATGCAGTGTCCATATGACAGTGCGTGTGTGAGGAATTTAATTTCTTAACAAGCATTTCTTATGAGGTACACTGTAATTACATAATTTTCCAAGTCTTGTAATTTCTTCTTGGTCAGAAGGAAAAGTTACATTTATAAATTAAACATGCACCATTTGAGGCACAACTCCATATAATGTTGTGGGTCAGCTTCTAAATGACAGAAACACCTCTCCTCTTTTTTTGTTGTAGACAAATACTTTTCAAGCATTTCAAAAGACTCTGCTTTCTGAGCTGTAAAAAGGTTATGTCAGATGGAGCTTTAAACGAAGCCATGTTGATGAACCAGTTAAACCAGCACACAAATTGGTTATTGCATACTGTTTTTTGTTTCGATAATTAAAAGAAGTAATTACATAAGCTGGTTTTAAATAAGTTACATATTGTTCAAAGGCTGGTTAATTGGTGCTGTTGCATCTCTTTTGTTCAATTTGAAAGTCTTCACACTATATTATTTGAGTTTATTCATGTTTCACTCTTTTGAATAATGAGATGTGTGAGCTGTTCATGTTGTTATCATGGGTCCAAATACCTAACCGTTACATTAAAAAGTTTAAAACAGTGCCCACAGACATCTGAATATTGTTTAGCAGCTGAAAATTCAAATTGGATCTGATGTTCATAACACCACTAAAGGGATAGTTCAACCAAAAATGAAAATTCTATCATCAAACATTTGCTGCTCCTCATTGACTTCCACAGTGGGGACATCAACTGTTTGGTTACCTACATTCTTCAAAATATCTTCATTTGTGTTCAGCAGAAGAAAGAAACTCGTACAGGTTTGTAACAAATTGAGGGTGAGTAAATGATGACAGAATTTTGGATGAACTATCCCTTTCGTTTACACTGCAAAGTTGGCACAGAAGCACTTCTGAAGTGGCATTTAGGAGTCTTTACGACTCCAATGCTGCTCAGAAGGCATAATTGAGGCTGGCTTTTATGTGGCATCACGTCTATATGCTGAATTTCCAACAGGCACAGAGCAGCCTGAAATCGGTAGGGTTAAGATGCCTTAAGATTTCCATAAGCCTCTCATAAAGTTGAGTTCTGTAGATTTTAGACTTACAGACTTGTGTTTTCATGGACTTGCCTCTTACCTTTTTTTTTTTCTTACTTCATGGACTTGCCTCTTTTTTGTGTTTGTGCTTTTGAAATGAGTTGTTTTATTAAAGGAAAAATAGGTTGTTTTTTTTATGATGAGGAACATTTAAAGTTTGGACGGTGCCCCACACGCCAGATTTGCAGCTCAAATCCACTCATGCTTCCTCTCAGAGTTCAGGCGACTCTTTGAGAGAGAGCCAGCACTGGAAAGTAGAGCAGCTGGGAAAGCTAATGGCTGCCCCTGGTGATTACCGTAGAGGAAAGGCCTCTTTTCACGGTTTCCCCAGCCAGTCTGCCGCCTGGCGACACCGAGATAACGGCCTCGTTGTTGCATGCAGGAAATGAACAAAGACCACCCTGTCCCCCTCCTAAACTCGTCCCCCACTGCCCGTTCTGTATCCAAGCTTTGATTTCAGCACAGTCAGGCAACAGGTATCTGTAGCCACAGGTAATCTGAGTGCAAAGTGGGCCCAAGGCCTGGCACAACCACACTTGCCTCCCCCTGCCATGCCATCCCATTGTTCAGAGGACACTGAGTTAAATGATAAGAGAAACCCAATACAGTGGGAGCGGCTTTAGTGCTCTTCAGATGGGACAAAAAGGTTGGGGGGGACCAATAAGGTGGACCAAACCTTGTTGGCTGGACAAACTACTAAGCAGGAAGCTGTAATTTTAGGATTAGATCAGAACATCAGTAAACCACTTTTAGTAACATTGTCTTTCATCCAAGCATATAATACCGTGCGAGTTGCCAAATGAACTTCTCTTTCTTTTCATCCAGGACGGAGTGATCTCAGTGAAGGATATTGATTTGGTGATGTCTGAGGGCTTGGGCATGCGCTACGCTTTTATAGGTCCCATTGAAACCATGCATCTCAACGCACCAGAAGGCAAGCCACCTTTTAACCCATGCAATTTGTAAAAAAAAATGGGATAATGAAACTTTGTATTTAAGCACTGAGAAGGTTTTGTTTTCATTATGCATGTAAAAAAAAATTGGTGCGGTGCTTGGGGCAGCGAAAAAGCAGTCTGTGAAAACCTCTTATTGTTTCGATTACATCCACCTCACGTGACCTTAAGTGTGTGTGTGCAAGAGAGAGACTGTAAAAGAATCTGAAACAAGCACGAAAGTGTGTAAATGTGCATGTGTTTTGAAGAGATCTCATGTTCACGGTGAAAATCAGAAGGCAGTGTGAAATCTATAGGATGACCCTGCTCCCACTATGAAACGTGCTTTGCCATGTGACACCGGTACTAACCTTTGATGATGACAGATGAGTTATTATTCTCAGCCCTGCCTCCTTGTACTGCGAGTGAGGTGCTACAGTGCTCTCACTGTGGTGATAAAGCCCCCCTGTAAACACAAGAGTTTCGCCCTGGTTTCTTCCATTGCTGTAATGGCACAAGTTCTTGGAAACTGTAAGCGAAGAACTGTGGCTGAACTTTCACTGGTGCACATCTTATCTGCTGAGAGCCCTTCTAAAAGAACTCATGCCCTTCAGATTAAGAGCTACTCAATTCATGCTTGAAAACTCTGTTACAAAACAAAATGCCAGTAAGTTTATTTGCTGAATCATTTTAGACACAGTTCCAAACTGATTATACTTTTTGTGTCACAGTTATTCATAAGGACAAAGCAGCATTTGTTATACAAAATATGAATTTTGTAGCTGGTTTTAAAAAAGTATTTTGAATGAATTAAAACGAATCAAAACTATTTCTGTAATATGTTGTTATTAGAGTCATGAAAAATATCAGACCTTTTATGGTCAACCGTGATACTACTGTATTGTAGAAATGCAAAAGCACATTTTGATTTGACCCTCATTCTGTGTTTTGTCTGTCCAGGTATGGAAGATTATCTCCAGCGCTACAGCGAGGGCATAAAGAGGGTTCTTAATACTTTTGGACCTGTTCCAGACTTTTCCGGAGAGCCAGCAGATAGAATTATAAAAGTATGCAATATCAATGATATTATTAATAATTGGAAAATTTCTTGAAACAGTGGCTTTTGAAATCTTAAATCGGATTTCCTAAATACTCATATATTTTTTAAATATATAATTATTGTAATCATTATAAACAGGAAGATTTTACCATCTTCTTTAGGAGATCTGTGAGCTGATCCCTGCTGAACAGGAGCACCTTACAGCCAGGAGAGAGAGAAGAGATCAACTGCTGATGGGACTAGCTAAACTGAAGAAATGAGGCTAACCACGAGATACTACCTAAATGAAAGTATTTATGGATCATCTGAACCATTGTTGTTCTTGGTGTTACATTTTTCCCTTCCAGGCAACAGAATATGACTGATTATGGAAGCAAAAGCTGGAACTAAAGCTAACCTCGGAAATATCTTTAGGATTCATTTAATTATGAATTGAATTTTTATAATGCTTTACCAGTATTTTTAAGTCTAAGATTTGTGACAGATACTTGACTAAAGAGCACTTTAATGTGAAATTCACAAATTAAAAGGAAAATATGCTCAATTGAAAATGAATGGCATTTTCGTAACTTCCTCATTGGACATTTATGAATTAATCTCTTTATACCTAAGCTGAGCCCAATAATTATGTGTACACTTAACTTGAGATGTATGAGTGTCATAACATTTCAAACCCAAGTGTCAGATTCAAATAAATAATGCTTTCCTCAGAACTAACAATGACTTATCTGACTGGTATCAAGGTGGTGATTTTTAGTGTATGACGTCAATTCACACAGGTGTCCTAGCAGAGTAAACACTGGTGTAGTACATCACATTAAAAAGAAAATGAAATGAAAACATACAACACATCTTAACTTTCACACAGTATAGTTTTAAATATTTCAGGTCATGAGTAAATAACCTACAGTCACATAGAAAGTGCTTTTTACTCTAACGTATCTATTATTTATATTAGATTAATACTGCTACTTAAATGTGAGTAGGTCAGTAAAGTTTAGGCCCACTAATAATCTCAGCATATATATATAAACATGTTATGTTTTGCTCGAAATGTGCAAACTGTTTGGCCTGATATTTTGTGAAATAATGCAGAGACAGATTATTAGTGGGCCTAAACTTTACTGAATTATTCTACTTATATTTAAGTTGCAGTATTAGTCTAATGTAAGTAATAGATACGTTTCATATTTCATACGTTTCATGGCACCTGAACGGTCAGACTAAAAAGCACTTTCTATTCGACTGTAGGTTATTTACTCATGACCTGAAATATTTAAAACTATACTGTGTGAAAGTTATATTGTACGTTTGAACATAATACCACACCTACACGCTAGCGACGCGACTGTACAAGATCGCTGCTGAGGCTGCGGCGCATTCCAGGAACATTCCAGTTTTGTCGCCTGAGAGCTCAAGAACCACCAATGAACGCTGTGACTCCGCCCGATGTCAGGTGCACTAAACTTACGCTCACTGTCCTCAAGTCAAATCACTTCATCTCACTCTCGAGACCACAAAGAAACTCCGCAAGTGAAAGTACTGATTTTTAACTCACCTGGGCGGATATATATCATGGATTTGATCTGAATCATTTTGTAGGCTAACAGGTAAACTTCGTTTTCTAAAACCGCCAGACAGTGACAATGTTACGTGATAATTATTCCGTGTTAATTTCGACCAAATATGATCAAAGTTACCAACATGTGTGGGAATGAAGGATATCTTAATTAATAGGAATTTATTAATGTCATTAATATATGTTAATGAAGGTATTTTCAATTCAATATGTTGAGTCTTTTTGAAGACATAGAATTATAGTTTGTGTTATTAGGATTGAGGAATGAAAATGTAAGCTTACCCTACTGGAAAAGTTTGGAATAATATATATATACTTTTGAAATAAGTCTCTTATGCTTACCAAGACTGCATTAATTTGACCAAAAATACAGTAAATTGTGTAAATTAAAACAATATTGTGAAATAATATTACAATTTAAAATCTGTTTTCTGTTGTAATATATTTGAAAATGTAATTTATTTTTGTCATAGCAAAGCAGAATTTTCAGTAGTCATTAGTTTTCAGTGTCACATGATCCTTTAGAAATCATTGTAATATGCTGTATCTATTTTACTGTATTTTTGATCAACCTTGGTGAGCATAAGAGACGTCTTTCAAAAACATTCTATTCTATTTTTATATATATATTTTTGTCATCTGAAATTTTAATTTGAACTCAGAAGTTGTCAAAAATTGTATTGACAATTTTTGAGTTCAAATTTACATTTAAATATATATAGTGTGTGAACTTTACATATTGTTTAAATTTGAATTCAACAATTGTCAATAAAATAATATAATGAATGTTATTTTATTGACAATTTTTGAGTTCAAATTTATATTATATGTCGTTGCTCAAATTCATCTCTTTCTTTTCGATGATTAGGAGCTGACAGCAACAGCAGATAGGATGAGTTGGGGAGCACTTTATGCCCAGCTGGGAGGGGTAAATAAACACTCCACCAGCCTGGGAAAGATCTGGCTGTCTGTCCTCTTCATCTTCCGCATTAGCATCCTTGTAATAGCCGCCGAAACGGTCTGGGGGGATGAGCAGTCCGACTTCACCTGTAACACACAACAGCCAGGCTGCAAAAACGTCTGCTACGACCACTTCTTTCCAGTCTCACACATCCGTTTCTGGTGCCTGCAGCTCATCTTTGTGTCTACACCGGCTTTGCTGGTGGCTATGCATGTGGCGCATCGCAAACGCAATGTAAAGAAAGGAATTTTGGCCAACCGAGGTGGTGTTGCCAAAGGGGATGACCTAGAGAGTCTGAAGAAGAGGCGTCTACCCATCACCGGGCCGCTGTGGTGGACCTACACCTCCAGCCTGTTCTTCCGGCTCCTTTTCGAGGCCGGATTCATGTACGCTCTGTATTATGTCTACGATGGGTTTCAGATGGCCCGTCTTGTGAAGTGTGAGCAGTGGCCCTGTCCCAATAAAGTTGACTGCTTTATCTCACGACCAACAGAGAAGACAGTCTTCACCATCTTCATGGTGGGATCTTCTGCCATCTGCATTGTGCTCAATGTGGCTGAACTGGCCTACCTGATTGTCAAAGCATTGCTGAGGTGCTCAGCCAGAGCCAAAGGAAGGCACGCTTTTGTTCACCAAGATAAAATGTCCACAGAAAAGGCACACTTACAGAATGAAAAGAACGCAAGGTTGCTGTTATCTGCTTCGGACTCCTCGAGCGATAAGACTGTTTAAGATTATCCCTACATCCAGTGACTAATTCTACCAACATGGTAATAGGCTTGTGATGACAGTGTTTTAACTTCTCTAATGCCATTAGAGCATTAGAATTAGTGTGTTTTGTACCTTGTTTTTGACACCCTGCCCTGAGAAAATAACAAAGCCTAACCTGACAGCAGGTTTCAAGCATGCTTCATTCAAGAGCTGGCATTCCTCCCACAAGCCAAAAGACAATTAGTGTGTTCTTACAGCACTGAATTGTCTGTAAAAATGTTCTAGGTTGTTGAATTTCATTTGCCAAATTACTCAAGAACCTCACAGTACTCTCTAGTGGCATTAGAAAAGCCCAATAGTGACTCCTAGTGGTCACAATGACATAAATGAAGTTCAGAGACCGTCTTTGCACAAAATTGAGCGTCCTTTTTTGAGGGATCATTTACACGATGTTGTATTGTATATAAATGCTTCTTTTTAAGACTGAGTTTTGCTTTGTTTACTTCTTTTTAAACGCAAATTATTTTGCTCTTTCTGTTACCCATCAACAGTTTTGACAATATAGCTATATAATTTACAGAGCCGAGCAGGATTTGTGTTTTTGTATGTTTTTATATGTGCTTATTTTGCACCTTCATTTAAATGTCTTCAACAACTGCACATCTGTGTTTAGTTTTAAGTCATTTCACTAGGTTCCGTTGCATTGACCCATACCGGGGATTTTATATCAGCATACCGCAGTGCCTAATTAGGTTGTTAACAAACAAGGCTGTAGTGGCGCGTCAGTCAGTCCACCTGTTGACAGGTGAGAGCTCGTGGTCTCGCGCTTCGTCAACTGTCCGTTATCTTCTGCTTTGTTTTTCTCCTCTCTGAGAGGCTCTACAAGTCAGCGGTGACCAGTTTTGTTTTTAAGGCTTTGACTAAACCGCAGAAACTATTGTTAGCAAAGTTTCCACATGGTATTGATGGAATCTTCTGCTGTTTCCTAAAGTGAGCTGTGATCATTGTTGATAGCCACCTGTTTGTAAAAGTACATTTCTTTGAAATTTTGGCTAACAACTTATCTTTTATATGCATATCTAAATAAAAAACGTATTAAATGTTTGCTGTTTGTCAGTATTGTAATTCCCGTGGGGAAAACCAATGGAGGGCGGTGCATTTCTATTCTATTTTAGGAAAGGCCTGCTGCATGACTGGATACTTTCCCATGCAGTAACCTACAAAGATTCCAGAGTTTTTGACTAGAGTCATTTTTGTCTTTTTGCCAGTTTACTACCACAAACCAGCTTTTAGTAACTGCGTAAATTACTATAAACTAATCATTAAAATTCTAAAGTAGCCTAAGTGCTTAATTTGAACCGGATCCTGCCGGTACCTGTTCCGGCATTAGATCGTGACAGTGCGTGCGTGCATATGAGAGCGAGCGCAGGTTTATGTGGCTATTTGAAGGTTATGTATTGGTCCTCAACATATTTTTTTTTTACCGTGACCAGTCAGCTTTCTTAAGTTCAAACTCGCTCTCATTGATTGGTGCTTACTGCTTATTGCTTTGTGAGCAGCAGAACGTTTGGAAAGAGTGTAATAATACCAGAAATAATACCAAATAAAGTGAAATATTATAATGTATAAACACTATAAACATAGCTATACGTTAGTATAGCTCACTCCAAAACAAATCATATAAATGTAACGGTATTCAGAGCAGAACAAGAATGAAATTAAAATATATAAACCTAAAGAAATCAAAACAAAGCGAAACTGAAAGTACCAGGCGTTAATTGGGCTCACGTACCTCTCATTCGGCACAAATCATAATGTTTCCATATTCGCAATGTATTTCAATGAAACTATTATTTAGGCTATAATGAAGAGGCTTTGTACTTTACGCGCGCTCGTATATCGACAGAAATATCCTCTTCACATGAGCAAAAATGTGTTTGGCATACAAAGTAGACCAGTTATACCACGGATATTTAAATTGACCAGTGTAACCTTTTTTTGGTTGACTGTATTATTTTGATAATGAACAGACTGCGATGTCAAGTTTGAGTTGCGAATATGTGGTGGGTGTGTGTGTGTGTGTGAAACATAAAATACACCATTTTTGATCATACAGATAAGAGTAAGACATAGCCTAATTCGAAAGCACAAAGTGTTTACTTTTATTTTTGCACACTCAAAATAACAACAGAACATTTGTGATTTTGTAAAATAAAGCAAGGATGCGCGTTTAATTAAAACTGTTACTTATTTAAGTCAGATATTTTTTTCGCATATTTATACCTATAGGGCCTACTATGATTTCATTTTATTTTTATGAAAATAAATGTTATTTTTAATGTATCTTAGATATACATTTTCCTAAAATCATCCTGGCAACCCATTTTTGATCCAGGGTTTGAAGTTTGCCCTAGTTAGGTTAATGCAGAAACTTGTGAACGATACTCTCTTGTAATTGTGGCGTCACCGTTTAGTGACGTCATTGAATGTTGCGGGAAAACTTGAGCTGTATTTTCAGTGTCGGTCACAGAGCCTTTTAATTGCGGTTTTGGATCCGGCAATTATTCATTTACAAATTAAGCACTGAGCCTATCTGTATTTGCAGTGGAAAATAATAAATTGCAACTGAGCATCTGCACAACTGTAATTTGGCGGCAGGTGAATTTATTATTAGGCTATGTTAAGCAATTGTAAAACGGTTATATATAGAAGAATTTAACAATAAGAAACTCATACTTTAGACACAATATGGCCAGTTATTTTGATCATTTTTACTCCGCTAACGAAAATATTTCCAAAGCAGAATCAAAGTGCCAAACAACGCATCAACTGACTGACTGCTTGAATAGAACGCGGAGTGATACAATCAGTGAAACGTCCAAATTCTGTTATAAGAAATCTCAACACTCTTGGAACACCGCCTGTACAAGTATATAATAATAATAATTATTATAATTATTATTATTTAAAATAATTATAATCATCACAATCATTACCAACATTATTATTATAATCATTATTATATAATTATTATTAAACTATAATAATAATGATATTTATTATTATTATTATTAGAATATTATGTGGTATAAAGTCAAAGTGGTATAAAGTTAAGTTGGGGTGATAAGTTTACCCGTTGACAGGGGCGTGGCGTGCGCGCTGACTGGCCGATGACTTTCTGAACGCAGCACTATTGCATGACCATTCAAAGTGACAGTAGCGATGGCTGGGAACGGGAGACAGCTGCGCTTGGTGAGACCCCGTCTCCACACTCGCTTTGCCATGAAAAACTAAGTTTTCTACGAGAGTTTGACCTCGGGTCTATGTGTGAAGAACTTTTGTGAATTAATAAGTTGGCCAGCCACTTTCAAAAGAGTTTGGTAAGCTGGCAGTGCTGCCAGGATTTGGGATCGGGGTGGGGAGCGGGGAGGGCTCCTGCTACCTTTGGGAGGTCTGTATGCTTTCAACGCACTCAAACTGTGGCACCAGTGGCCGCTGGATATTGCTTTCTTTAGATAAGTTTGCCTACTTCAGTCAAGGTATGCTTTAAATTAGGTCTACAAATCTTTTATCCTTTTACATCCCACATGAATTAATATGACTTTTTGCTAACTGGAAGGCCATCAACATAGACTTCAGTTTTGGATGGTTTCTGCCTACTAACAGCTAACATCATTTAGACACATTTCAAGAAAAGAGCTGTTGTTTGAGATGACAGGTATTAGCGCATAATCACTGCAAAGAATAGAAAATCTGCCTCTCTCTGACAGTTTGTCCTGGATGTACAGTGAGAACAGTGGACAATTACTATCATCAGCTAATTATATAAACAGAAGCAGTTTGTAATTAAATGCTTAGCTGATAGATCAAAGACGCTAAGTATTTTTGATATTTGATAATTATAAACTAACAACTTTAATAACTGTAAAATTATAGCTGCCTTGGGAACTAAAAGATTTTTTGGATAATTTGATAGAAATGAGCCATAGACCATAATAAATAAAAGGGCTAAAAATGAAACTAGTATAAGGATTTTTTTTTTAATAATCCAAATAAATATTTTAAATTATTTTAGTTATATAAAGTTATGTATAAAGATATATAAATGTTAAATAAACCAAGTTAAATGTAAAATAAATGAATAAACAACTGTTTTCTATTATTATTATTATTATTATTATGTAACTTGCACTTTCTCTTTCAGGGTCATAGACTTGATTTAGAACCTTAGTCGATGGATTTGCCGCCCTCAATACAACATCATTTTAGTAAGTAAATATATTGTTTTTCTTGCTATTGTATATTTTGCTCTTTTAGGGTTCTTTGTTTACGAATGACAATACTATATCAACCTTGTTCTGTTACACCTAGTTCAATCTTGTTGTTTAATTGAGTTCATTATGATAAAGATTAAATCTGTGTTGATCAAAATCCTTGGGTTATAACATGACACTCATTTCTGGATTCATCAGTTTTTCAAAGCATTTACAGCAGCTACAGGGTGAATTCATGAATTGTACATTTTAGCTAGCAATTAATTATACTGATGTAGACATGATCTGAGTGTAGATTCACAACTATAAAGTGGCCTGGTTTTGGCAGTGCCGTCTCCATATTTCACTTCATTTTTCACCTTGATGTCCTGAAACTGGCTCTATCAGGGCCCTACGCATCACTGTCCAGTCAACGCTTTCAACTGTTTTTGAACATTATAATGTTGATCTCAGCACATGCCTGCTGGGCAGTGAAGTGAACAGGAGAGAAAGAGACCGTGTGTATGAGTGTGGTGAAAAAGTGTGTGTACGAGTGTATGTGTGTGTGTCAGTGGCTGGAGAGAAAGCGAGCCAGAGAGAGTTCGCTTACACTGTGCATGCCAGGTTCATAGCAGCCAGTTAGAGAGTTAAATAGCCAGGGGTCACGAAATCCATAACTTTATGTCAAACATTTAGTTTTTTAATGTGATATTTACAGTGATCAATGACAAGGGTGATTTGCTTGGTTTTCCTAAACGTCATTTGGTAAAGTTGTGTAGGGGAGTGCTCCATCAGGACTGATTGTTTGGATCTTATGCAGAACCATGAAATGCTGTGTGAGTTCATGAGGGCTGAGTGTGTTTTTTTACGTTAATTTACCTTTAGCTGAGCCTGTTTGAGTGGGCAGTGCAGGCCAGAGAAGATCCAAACTGTCTCGTGTACAGTGTAACGTTATTTTGTTAACTAGTTCTGATGAATCCTCTCTGTTCCCCTTTAACCCTTTCTCTCACCCTCTCACTCTCTCTCACACTCTTGCCCTCAGACTGTACTTTCTCTCTAGGCTAGAAATCGTGAAGCATGGGTGACTGGAGCTTTCTTGGACGGCTCTTGGAGAATGCACAGGAACACTCAACCGTGATCGGCAAAGTCTGGCTGACAGTACTCTTCATTTTTAGGATTCTGGTGTTGGGAGCGGCGGCCGAGGAGGTCTGGGGCGACGAGCAGTCAGACTTCACCTGCAACACGCAGCAACCCGGTTGCGAGAACGTCTGCTACGACGAGGCCTTCCCCATCTCCCACATCCGCTTCTGGGTGCTCCAAATCATCTTTGTGTCCACGCCAACGCTTATCTACCTGGGCCATGTCCTGCACATCGTTCGAATGGAAGAGAAGCGGAAAGAGCGCGAGGAGGAGCTACGAAAGGCCAGTCGGCTCCAGGATGAGAAAGAACTCCTGTATAGAAATGGAGGGGGAGGGGAGTCTGGTGGACGGGGTGGGGGCGGCGGCGGCAAAAAGGAGAAGCCACCAATCAGAGACGAGCATGGTAAAATCCGCATTAGAGGTGCCTTGTTGCGTACCTACGTGTTCAACATCATTTTCAAGACCCTGTTTGAAGTGGGGTTCATTTTAGGTCAGTATTTCCTCTATGGTTTCCAGTTGCGGCCCCTGTATAAGTGTGCTCGGTGGCCCTGCCCCAACACGGTGGACTGCTTCATTTCCCGGCCCACGGAAAAGACCATCTTCATCATATTTATGCTTGTGGTGGCTTGCGTGTCCCTTTTGCTGAATTTGTTAGAAATCTATCACCTCGGATGGAAGAAGGTCAAACAGGGCATGACCAACGAGTTTGCCCCCGACCGCGAGTCGCTGCCCGGCGCGGACAAAGCAGAGGCTGAGTCTTTTAGAACTGCGCTTGCCACCCTCAGCTACCCGCCAGACTACACGGAGGTAGCAGTGGGTGGCGGAGCGTTCCTCCAGCCTATGTCGGCACCCTCGACGGCCGAGTTCAAGATGGACCCTCTGCGCGAGGAGCTGGAGGAGTCCTCGCCGTTCTACATCAGCAACAACAACCACAGGCTGGCTGCCGAGCAGAACTGGGCCAACCTGGCCACCGAGCAGCAGACTCAGGAGATGAACGCCGCCTCCCCCTCCCCTTCCTCCTCCTCGTCTCGCTCCTCCAACAACGGACGGCAAGCCAAAGAAGCCGCTCCGCACGCCAGCGCCCCCACCTCCCCTGGCTGTGGTTCGAGTGCCGGGCCAGAGGAGGGGCACGTCACCACCACGGTGGAGATGCACGAGCCGCCCATCATTTTCACTGATGCTCGACGACTGAGCAGGGCTAGTAAAGCCAGCAGTGCGAGAGCGAGGCCCAATGATTTGGCGGTGTAGTGGCTCTCCACTGCAAAGCGCAGGTTTTTGTGGACAAAAACACAAAAAAATACACCAAAAAACAAGAGGAAGAAAGAGGCAGATTGCTGGAACAAAAATGTTAATTCCATTAATTATTTATTCCATTTTGCAATGTAAAATTACAAAGAGTTTAGTCATCTCTTATGGCTTATGAAAGATGGCTTCTGAATGCTGGTTAGTTTTATGCAGTAGCTGAATGGAGCAGTACATCTGATGCAGGTTATGGTACACCAGAATCTCAATGGTTCATTAAACAAATGTCACTTAAATTAGTCTTATGACAAGGCCTTAATGTAAAAATGTCCATGCAGTCTGTTCAATTTATTAAGTATATATGTGACCCTGGACCACAAAACCAGTCATAAGGGTCAATTTTTTAAAATTGAGATTTATACATCATCTGAAAACAGAATAAATAAGCTTTCTATTGATGTATGGTTTGTTAGGATAGGACAATATTTGGCCGAGATACAACTATTTGAAAATCTGCAATCCGAGGGTGCAAAAAAAAATCTAAATATTGAGAAAATCGTATTTAAAGTTGTCCAAATTAAGTTCTTAGCAAAGCATATTACTACTCAAAATTTAAGTTTTGATATATTTACAGAAGGAAATGTACAAAATATCTTCATGGAACATGATCTTTACTTAATATCCTAATGATTTTTGGCATAAAAGAAAAATCGATATTTTTGACCCATACAATGTTTTTTTTTTGCTATTGCTAAAAATATACCCAAGAGACTTAAGACTGGTTTTGTGGTCCAGGGTCACATTTTTTAATGTATTTTTGAAGACTTGAATAGGATATGAGACAAATGGGAAAAAAGAGAGTAGTTGAAGTAATCGAAGAAAGACGTCAAATTCATGAACACCCAATTTAAAAATGTTCTCTTTGTTGTTCCAGCATCTGTCTCTACATTTCCTCACTGTAAAGAGAAATCAAAAGTTTGAGGAAGAAAAAAGTAAAAAGCACATTGCCTGATAAAAGTGGCAAACTTTAATGCATCACAGAGAAAAGGTCATCCGTACACTGAAAAATGAGCATATAACTGAGGCAAGTGAAATACTTAGATAACTGTTGTACTACTGAATGGTGCAGTTTTAATTCATATAGCTTGTGTATTCTCTGGACCAAGTTTCTTTTTTCTTTTTTTCAATCCCATGATCTGAAGTTCACATCCTGCTCCTCTGTTGGATTTGAGAGTTTTGATATATGACCATGTCCAATCTTGCCATCAGGAATACATGATCACTTTTAAAATAGTTAATCAGATGAGGGGAGTACGAACTCTCATTACATGTGACATTTGAAATCCGTATTGGTTTTTATTTCAAAAAGTTTGAGCATTTTCTAAAAATGTAAGCAATTGGTTGAGAATGAGTACAAAAACAGTTATCAAAAACATTGCTTTTCTGTAGTCAGTTCGTGGCTGCCAAAAAGTAGTTACTTCAAAATGAACATAAAAAGATGCTGCAAGTGTCTTATGCTGATATGGAGTTTATCCCCCATTTTTTTCTCTTTTTTTGGTCCAGTTTCAGGTTATTGTGAGGCCCTCATTTTCATTGACTACTACTGCTGTTGTATAGAACATGCCTTCTGTAAACATAACAACTCATATCAACTTGACAGCACAACGTGATTTTTTTTTGTTTTTTTGTAACCTTTACAAAACTGTTGTTGAGACCCATTCAAACACAATGTACATCGCTTTTATTATCAGGTCTATATTTCTGCAATCCACTTAAAGAGACAGACAGTCCTGAAATAGAAATGGTACATTGCTTCATCACGCAGAGTTTGTGCTTAGAACAGTATTACTTTTGCTTTTATCAGATCACAGTATTTACAGATGTATGTTATTTATTTTCTGCCGTTTTAATGTATCCAAAAACGAAAGTGTGTTATTTTGTCATTTTTTTGGCTCTTAAAGTTTACATTTTAGTAAATAGTTGAAGATTTGCACATTTAGGAAAAAGACACTGTTCAATAATTCTTACATTGATAGAAAGGAGGAAATATTTTTGATCCTTAAAGGAAAATGTCTTAATGGTAAAAGTCGTTGTGTTGATGGCAGTATTATTCCACTTAAATAACATCAAATGTAATTTATAAAACAGCACTTGTAGAGTATAAGAAATATACACGTTTCCCATGTTTTATTTTAGGACTGTTGTGGTGGCCTGAAAGCACCGCAGAAAATTTGAACTTTGTGCATTATAGCATTTCATCCATTCTGAATTTGAATTGGCCAGCCAGCCAGCTCTTTCCTATCTCGATCCGTTTGTAGTGTACTTAGTTGCAGCCCATTATTCTCAGATAACACTCATTTCTTGAACTTCTTGAAATGATTTTCTCTAGCAGAGCTGATTATTCTGACCAATCAGGGAAATGAACCACCTACATATGCTCAGAACAGCAGCCTGTTTCAATGCTGTCTTAAGAGAAGTGCCTTGTGTATTAAATTTTATAAGAACAAGTTGATGTAAATGTTCATTTACCTCAAATGTTTACAAAGCTGTTACTAAATAAACTTTTTGTACCATAAATGTAGGCTACTCTGTCTTTTTCATTTGTACATGGCAGGCATCAAAACTCAAAATACTAAATGTTATTGATGTTAAATGTTCTCAAGTGCTGGCCTGTTCACGAAAAAGGCTCCGTAAAATGGCTATAAAAAAGACTGAAAAAAGTGTGAAACTTTCACAGAACTATGAGATCTTTTTTAAAGGTTAGAAGGTAATTAAGTAATTTTGTCATTTTTCACCAACCCTCACTTTATTTTAAGTTAATGATGCTAACCCCTGTCAAGGCTTTATGCAATTTTATGTGATCCATGCCAAAACCATCAAGAACAACACCATAATGGGAAACAAATTCGCAGAAAGCCTGAGCACATCTCAAACGAGAACTTGCACTCGTTGACCTCTGACCTTTATGCTTATCAGTCCTCCACTCCAGATTCCTAGAGGGGAAGTGAGAATGAGACTGAATCATGAGGGACACTGAAATGACACAGCACCCACCCAATTTGCACAGTCCTCCCTCCGTGAGGAAACAGCAAATCCAGAGGATGATCTATGTCATGTATGTCCAATGTATGAAACGGACAATTTGACGCTGTCACCCTAATTGAAATCCTGATTCTGTTTGTGTAAGACAAATGCTGCTTTGTTTTGTTAGCAAGCTATTTATAATCTGAAAGTAGAAGTACAAAAAGAAGCTTTAAAGGGTTAGTTCACCCAAAAATGAAAATTAGGCTGTGTTTTACTCACCCCCGAGGCATCCTAGGTGTATATGACTTTCTTCTTTCAGACGAATCCAGTCGGAGTTATCATTTTTGGGTGAACTAACCCTTTAATGTATTAAGCTATCTGTTAGTAGCTACAGAGAGAATGATCTGTAAGCATTTCCATTTATCTGCTGCTGAACAGCCTGACAAAACAGATCTGTGGCCATTTCACATTTAATACTAAAAAAATTACAGGATCTCTCAAAAAAGAGGGTTTATACTGGTGACAGGGTTTAAAGGGGTCATATGATGCTTTTTTAAAGATCATTATTTTGTGTATTTGGTGTAACAGAATATGTTGACTTCAGGGATCTTATCTATTCACGAACAGCTTGTAACACTCCAAAGAGAAAGGACAACTTGAAATCGCATCATATGACCCCTTTAAATACTGGATCAGAGGCACCTTGTCTGCAAAAACCTAAGACTGTGGGAAATCTATTAGGAATAAGGAAAACCAACTTGATCCATCATCTTTTATTTTTTATTTTTGTTAAATCTATGGCTAGTCAAATCTGACAGTAAATGATATTAAATTATAAATTAAATATATATATATATATATATATATATAAAAACTTTTCACTTTCTCAGCCATAAATCAGCACCGGGAGAAAAGTTAAATGGATTCATTTCATGGGAGGCTACAGTGAAAATATGTTGAGAGGAGGTGGATCTCAACACTTCCAGCTTTAAAACATCAGATCTGACAGTGGAGTTCAAGTTTAGAGAACTTTAATTCTCACCGTACTGGTTTGTTAACTGACATTTATTGCATTTAGTCAGCACATGCTGTGTGTTGTGGGAACAGACTCTGTCACACACACACACACAGTAGTTGAAGCTCCACTGGCTGTTTCATGTGCTCGGTGTCTAGATATCTATTTTAGGACAAGTGTGTTGGGTTATTTTAGGGCCAAAGGATTAGAGAGACAATGCACATTTGAAACCGGCAAACCTCATGTGATGGTTTCAATAAACAGAGCTAATTTGGAGTATCAATATATATTATGATCAGAATAAGGACAGTAATCAATGATTGCTATGAGAAGAGCAAAACAATGGCATCAAATAAAATGGATAGTTGTAGTATTGGTTTGTGGGAAAAAGAGAATGGAGCCAGTCATTGAAGAGGAGGTGATACGCAGTAGGTGTTAAGTCCAGTGTTTGAGGGGTGTCATTTGATTGGTTGTCTGCGGGTTGAAGGTTGCAATGCTATCTCCGAAGGGCAGGGTCTATGTGTCTATGTGAGCACTTGGCTTTACCATCCCAGAACTAAAAACACACAGGCAGTTATTTATAGCCTCTAATCACCTTGGAAATCCATGCAGCCTCTCTGCCTGAATACCACTGTGCTGTGTTGTTTATATCAGGAAAGCCACTCAATATGTTTGGGGCCCAGTCTGGACCAAGGTGTGCATGTGCAGTTAATGACCGTTGATGTTCAACGTTACAACACAGCAATTGGATCATACTGTAACTAGTGTTGCTTTCGTCAACGAAAATTATGCCTAAATATCGTCGTCAACGAACCTTTATCACGTGACGAAAAACGAGACGAGACACAACGTAAATGCTGGTCATGTGACGATGACTATAATTAAATGTATAATGCAATATTGTTGACGAATAAAAACGAGACTAAATGTGGTTTACAAAATAAAAACTATGCTAAAATGTCTCTTCATTTTCGTTGACCAAAACGAGACGAAACGAAATGTTATAACGTTATTTCATCTCGTTTAGTCGCGTTATTATTATTATTTTGCCGTATTTCTGTTTCCTGTGTCTCACTTCAGGGGCTGCACCAGGTCGCACTGTGCAGACGGCGTCACTTCCTCAAGCCCCACTCGCGGCATTATTTAGAGCAGTGTTTGCCAACCGTAACTGTGATGCCAGTTACTTAATTTCCATTATCTCATTGCAATCAAAGCTACACTAAATAATTGTACAATTTAAAAATTGATCATTTTCAGTATAATTTTCCTTGCCTGCCATTTTTTGTCATTTGCTATTTTGTTGCTCCTAATTAATTGTAATAGGAAGCAG